CTAAACCTTCCACCCTTAAACCCTAAACCCTGGGATCCACCCCCAAGTAACCAGGGGCTGAGACGGGCTCCCGTTTCCTTATGGGCAGGTTGGAAAGGGAGCGTAGGACCCATAAAAGAGGGAGAGCAAAAAAACACCAAAAAAAAACATTACAAAAACAACAATCATCATCATCACCATCACCATCACCATCACCATCACCATCACCATCATCATCATCATATACGAATAAGAATGATGACAAGAATAATGCCAATAACAAGAAAACAAGCTACAATTATTTTACTTCGAACATCCCCACCTTAGGGATTGGGCACTCCAGGGAGACTCTGGGGTTGGGCACTCCAGGAGTCTCCCCGTTGGGGTTGGGCACTCCAGGTTGAGCACTCTGGGGTTGGGCACTCCAGCTAGCTGGTTCTAGAGATAGAAGTTAGGGTCTCAAGGTGTGATGGGTGCTGCGGTTGGACTGGTCTCTAAGCCGGTTAGTAACTCAAGACATTAAGACTCAGCCCCAGATCAACCATTCAATCATTACCAACCGGGCAGTTACTACCTTCATGAAGAAGCCTGTCCAAGAGTGCTCACTTCCTGTCTAGGTCCGTGAATTCGCGCACTCATTCACTTGTCCTTTTCCCCCTTAATAATATAGTACGGGCGTATAAGGGCGAAAAGACCATTATGACGCCCGTAATATATTAATTAAGGGCCCTTTCATGCTGTGTTAAAAGCCCCTCTAAAAGACTTATATTATAATGGGGCTTTTACCTACAGCATTAAAGGGGGAAAAGGCCACAGCAGTTTCTGGGTCGGGCACTCCAGGCTGGGGTTGGGCACTCCAGGGAGCCTCTAGGTGTAGACCGGGCGAGGAGAAGAGTTGTGTTTAAAATATTAAAACCCCACACCGAAGGTGGGGAAATAAAAAATAGTAGTAACAATCTGGCATGCTGAAGAATCTAAGGTCGGGGAAGCTACCCGAAAGACATGGGGCGCTTTCCCTGTTTAGGGTCTGAAGATTGACTTGGCTAGTTCTCTTGGTTACCGTCCCTTTCTGGGCCCCATATCGTACGGCACCCTGAACAGAAGGACCCAAAAAAGGATTTCTGATTTTCGGAACTACCTTGATGGTGCTGCACAGGGTTCGGGCGCCTAAACCCTAAACCCTGAACCCTGAAACCCTAAACCCTAAACCCAAAACCCTAAACCCTAAAGGGGCTTGTGGATCGAGTCGCGTAGGCGAGGCGGCACTGCGTCCGGCGGCAGCAGGGTATCGTCAAGCAACCATTCCTGGAAAAAATGGGTTTAGGGTTTAGGGTTTAGGGTTTAAGGTTTAGGGTTTAGGGTTTAGGTTCCAAAGCCCAAAGGCTAAACCCTCGACCCCTTTGAGCCCCGTCACCCTAAACCCCAAACCCTGGATTCCTAAACCCCTCAACCCTAAACCCCTAAAACCCTCAACCCCTGAATAAGGACCTAGAACCCTGCAAGAACACTAAGTTCCCAAATCCCTAAACCCCTGAAAAACTTCTGAAAAACGCCAAGACCCCAAGGACCAAGAGCCCAAATTCCGAAACCCCTAAACCCCTAAACGCCTAGACCCCTAAACCTCTAAACCCTAAGCCCCTGAACAGAAAGGCTTTAAGACCCCAAGGACCAAGATTAAGCCCCTAAACCCGACAAACCCCTAACCCTAAACCCTAAACCCTAAACCCTAAACCCTAAACCCTAAACCCAAGGACCAAGAGTCAGCCATGCTTGGAAGCTTGTCGCCCTCCCCTGCTTTGCGCGGGAGCCAGTGCCAGAGTCTGGAATGCACCTTGCAAGCACGGGGTAGGGTTTAGGGTTTAGGGTTTAGGGTTTAGGGTTTAGGGTTTAGGGTTTAGGGTTTAGGGTTCAGGGTTCAGGGTTCAGGGTTCAGGTTCCAGGGTTTAGGGGTTAGGGTTTAGGGTTTAGGGTTTTGGGGTTCTGCTGCACTATGGCGCAGAAGCTGTGAAGGTTGGGATGCGGACGAGCCTCGAAATGCTCGTAATTGACATGCGAAGAGCAGCTATGGCTGATTTTTTGAAGGGCCAACTAGCACTGTTCTCCCAGCCCGCGCCGTCTAAGGCGGCAAAAGCCACCCAAACCTCTTTACGGTTTACGCCTCAACTCAAATGCTTTCAGGGTATTTCCCTGACCGCGTGAGTCCGAAAGATTAAGGTTAGCAGCCAAGCGCCATGGGAGGCGTAGGCAGGATGCTTCAGGGAGCCGGTTGCACTACCGTGTGAACCTTTCTTCAGCCAGCAGAAGCAGAAGGCGGCCACGACCAGCGACTCACACGTGTTGTGTCACACAGAAAGGATGGGACCTTAGCGCAGTCACCCCGCTTTTGTCGGGCAGAAACACGAAGAAAAGTATGAAAATCCCACTTTATCCACCGTCACGCACATCACCTGCGGCACGCGTGGACACATGAACGCGTGACAAGCTGTGACAAGCGTCACATGCGTCACAAGCGTCGCACGCATCACGCGCGTCACGCCTGGATCGAGAAGACGCGTGCCGCGCGTGCCGTGCGTGATGCCGGGCTAGGGGGCCCAGCGCGCGTGACGCACGTGTGGCGTGAGAGACGCCTTGGAGGCCCTAGGCCCTGGGAGGCCCCGGAGAGTTTGTTGGGGGTTTCAGGGATTCCAGAGAGAGGGGGGGCAGTCCCAGGCAAGGGAGGTCCAGAACCCTCAACCTACTTTTTTTGTAGGTTATTCCTCTAAGGCCCCTTATAAGATTCTTAGGCAACCTACAACAAAGTAAGTTTCTAGGGGTTTTTGTCAGTCTCGAAGCCGGCTAGAGGCCGCGGTGCTGAAAAAAGGGCCCTTGGGACCCCCTCAAACAGGTTGGGGCGTTTTTTAGGTTTAGGGTTTTTTAAGGTTTTTGGGGTTTAAGGGTTTTTTCGGGTTTATAGGTTTAGGGTTTTTGTTGGGTTCTTTTTGGGTTGTCGGGCTTCTAGAACTTTTAGGGTTTTTAGGGGTTGTTCCAGACTCCAAGCCGAAAGCATCTGGGATTTGGACTGCCAAAGCCCAAGTCTGCAGCCACCCCCCACCCCCCCACGCACCAAAACTTTAGGGTTTAGGGTTTAGGGTTCAGGGTTTAGGATTTAGGGTTTAGGGTGTAGGGTTTAGGGTTTAGGGCTTAGGGTTTAGGGCTTAGGGTTTAGGGTTAGGGTTTAGGGTTTAGGGTTTAGGGTTTAGGGTTTAGCGTTCGGGCTTACGGCTCGGAGATCCCTTGTTTGCTTTGTTTGGGGGAGGGGGTTTGGGGTTTAAGGTGTCCTGCGAGGGACAGGTGCGATACGGCCATACCCTATGAGCACTACAACAAAGATAAACAAAACCCCCAAAAAAAACCAAAAAAAAATCTAAAGACCCTCAAAACCCCAAGACCCAAAAAAAAACATCAAAACCAAAAAAAAACTAAAAACCCAACGAAAACAGGGGAAAGCCAAAACGAGCTTGGACCAGTTGGAAACCCACACGGCCGCGCCTCTGAAATCGAAGGGCGCGCCTCACCGGCTCGCCAAAAGCGAACGCTGATGCGGGTCCGGGTTACTAAACCCCACCTTAAGAACCCAAAAACCTGCCTGTTTTTGTAGCTTGCCTAAGAACCCCATAAGGGGTTTTAGAGGAATGACCTACAAAAAAAGTAGCTTGAGGGTTCTCAAGGTGGACCCTAAACCCTAAACCCAACCACCCCCCCCCCCCCCCCCCCCGAACCCCCCTGAACCCTAAACCCTAAACCCTAAAGGGTTGCGGACCCTCAGCCTCTCAGCCCCCGGCCGAGCTAGGGCTAACGGGTGGAGGCATTCGGCTAGCTCAGCTGAGGAGTTCGGGTTTAGGGTTTAGGGTTTAGGGTTTAGGGTTTAGGGCTTAGGGTTTAGGGTTTAGGGTTTAGGGTTTAGGGTTTGGGGTTTGGGGTTTGGGGTTTGGGGTTTAGGGTTTAGGGTTTAAATTTAGGGTTTAGGGTTTAGGGTTTAGGGTTTAGGGTTTAGGGTTTGGGGTTTAGGGTTTAGGGTTTGGGTTTAAGGTTTAGGGTTTAGGCTATTTAGGGTTTAGGGTTTGGGGTTTAGGGTTTCGGGTTTAGGGTTTCGGGTTTAGGGGCAGACGACATCAGAGGGTCCCGGCTTTCCAACTGCGGGGGCAAGCATCAGGTTCGGTGTAGGGCCTGTTGCGCACTGCGCCGGACTGTGCTGAGGCAGCTGCAGGTTGGCGCTGAAACACCTTCTGAAAAAGATTCCTAAATAGGATCCTCTGAAACCCTAAACCCTAAACCCTAAACCCTAAACCCTAATATCCCAAGGGCCTGCATAGGCCCAAGCGTCTCTGGGATTGAAGGCTTAGGGGGTTTGGAGGGCCTAAACCCTAAACCCTAAACCCTACACCCCCCTTTGTTTGGGTCTAGGCTTCAACCCAATCAAATGAGGGACCCTTCCGATCTACCGTACCTCCTGAACCTCTAGGGTTTAGGGTTTAGGGTTTAGGGTTTAGGGTTTCGGGTTTAGGGTTTAGGGTTTAGGGCTTCGGGTTTAGGGTTTAGGGTTTAGGGTTTAGGGTTTAGGGTTTGGGGTTCAGGGTTTAGGGTTTAGGGTTTAGGGTTTGGGGCTTCGGGCCCGCCCCTGTCGCCCCGCGTATCAGAACAAAAACTACACTCCAAACCTGTACACCCCCTAACCCTGATCTAAAAACCCTGAACTCCAAACTCAAGCAACAGAAAAACAAACAACCCAAGCAAACAAGCAAATCCTAAACCCTAAACCCTAAACCCTAAACCCTAAGGATCAAAACAACCAAAGCAAGATCGAGGGCCGAGGATGTGGCCGAGGGATCCATCAGCCCGCAGCTTGCGCACAGCTCCAGGCACTCCTGCGCGAGCCGAGCGTGCAAAGAGAGGGGCCCACGGTTTAGGGTTTAGGGTTTAGGGTTTAGGGTTTAGGGTTTAGGGTTTAGGGTTTAGGGTTTAGGGTTTAGGGTTTAGGGTTTAGGGTTTAGGGTTTAGGGTAGCAGAGCCTTTTTGTGGGGCTAGGGTCTCATGCTAGGAATCGAGCACGAACAGTGTCCATACGACTAACAAGACACAAAGTACCAATACTTCCGATGATGCCTGCAAAAAAAGCCGAGAAACGCAGGGTTTGGGGTTTAAGGTTTAGGTTTTAGGGTTTAGGGTTTAGGGTGCAGGGATTGGGGTTTAAGGTTTAGGGTTTAGGGTTTAGGGTTGAGGGTTTAGGGTTTAGGGCTTACCGTTTAGGGTTTAGGGTTCAGGGTTTAGGGCATCCCTGAACTCGAGCCATGGCGTACACCGAGGAAAGCCTGGAGCAGTCCTCCTGAAGGGGTACATCATCACCCGTCGGCGGTGTCGCATCTGGTCCAAACTCCTGCAACCCCCAGTTTAAGGTTTAGCGTTTAGGGTTTCGGGTTTAGGGTTTAGGGTTTAGGGCTGAGGGGTTTAGTTAGGACTTTGCAAAACGGTGGAGATGTTGATTGGAGTCGCACGAAGGTAATTGCGAAAAGCTACCACAAACAGGGCTGCGGGATGGCCGTAGGCCTCCGACCCTCTGAATGAACCCCTAACCCCGAATTCCGAACTCTTCGGCCCGAAGCCCTCCCTGAAACGGGTTTAGGGTTGAGGGTTTGGGGTTTAGGGTTTCGGGTTTAGATGTAGGGTTTAGGGTTTAGGGTTCAGGGTTTAGGGTTTAGGGTTTAGGGTTTGGGGTTGAAGGCTCAGGCACCCTCAACTGCCCTCAACCCCTGGACCCCGAACCCAGTCAGAGACCTCCAGTGGCAGCTCACCAGTAACTGTGAAGTAGCACACTCCTCGGCTCTTGCATTGGCGGGCAGAAAGGGGGAGGGCAGAGGGGAGAGGGGAGGGGGTTTCAGGGCTTAGGGTGTAGATGCCCCAAAACCCCCAGAACCCCCGTCCCTTCATGCCCCACAAAACAAATCCCTAAACCCTAAACCCTAAACCCTGCACCCTAAACCCTAAACCCTAAACCCAACCCCATTTCGGAGCCCGAAGCATTTGAAGAACCAAGGCACGGCCCAGGGACCAGATGTCTGCACCTGCGAAGTGGCGTCAAGCTTAAGGCTTGGGTTTCACAAGGGCTTGATTTAGGGTTTAGGGTTTAGCGTTGAGGCTTAGGGTTTTAGGGTTTTAGGGTTTTAGGGTTTGAGGGTTGTAGGGTTTGAGGGTTTGAGGGTTTGAGGGTTTGGGTTTGGGGCTGGGTTTAGGGCTTGGGGCTAAGGGTTTGGGGCTGCGTGTTTAGGGCTTTAAAGGCTTAGGGTTTTAAGGTTTGGGCCTCGGGTGTTAGGCTGAAGGTGGCTGAGGCTTAACCGAGGGCTCACCCAAAAACCAGCACGAATCAGGACCGGCTTAGGGAGTTGGGATGTTTCCCTTCTTCGAACAGTCGTTAATCGGGATTCCAGTACCCCCCCCCCCCCTATTATAATCACAATTGAGGACTGTCAGTATACAGGGGAACCATCGCAAGTTAGGGGTTAGAATCGGCTGGAAGCCCTTAGCCTCAAGGAGCGTTTCGGGCTCAGGGAGATGGGCTGAAAGCTCCTCAAGACACCTTGATAATCGGATCACCCGGAGGGTCGGGAAGAAGAGGCACCTCCAACCCATGACAGAAGCTGGAAACCCTAAACGGTAAACCCTGGAACCTTAAACCCTAAACCCTAATCCCTAAACGGTAAGCCCTAAACCCTAAACCCTAAACCCTAAACCCTAACCCTCGACCCTAGCCCCAGAGGAGCCCCCACTTGAAGACATTAAAACCCTCAAAAGGGCGCTGAGGCCCTAGACCCCATTGACAAGTGCTTCGACTCTTTGCCGTTCCGGGCGGCTGATCGTCACTTCCTCGGGCCTTGCTCCAGACTCGCCTGGGCTTGCTCGTGTTTTTGCTTGTTTTTGTTGGGGGGTGGTTAGGGTTGAGGGTTTAGGGTTTAGGTTTTAGGGTCTAGGGCTGAGGGTTTCCGACTTGGGGTTTGGGGCTTGGAGGGTTTTGGCCCCTAGTCCGCCAACCCTGGCGACGCGTTGGATGGGTTTGTGGAGGTGGAACCTCCCTTTTTCCCTCCTGACACCCCCAAAACGCTGCGACTTGTCGGGGTGACAACCCCCCACCACCCCAACCCCCCCCCCCAACCGCCCCCCCCCACCCACCCCCCCGCCCCGGAGACCATCATCGATGCCGAAGACGGACCCCAAAAAGAGCGCGCATGATGAGCATCAGCGGGTCGGGCCTCGGGTTTCGGATGCGGCTGGAAGCTTCGAAAACGCAGGAAAAACGCTGAAAATACCGGTGGTTCTTCGTGCTGTCATTTCACACGTCCGGCTTCAAGCCGCCATTCCCACAGGCCACTAATGCTTGCATCGAGGCTTCGGTTCTTCTACGGGATCCGGGGGGTCATTGCGGGGGAGGGTGGGGGGCCCAGGTACTTGTCTCGGGCCAGCTAAGAACCAAGCCGACATGACCCCAAATCCCTCTCAAGAAAGCGGTTGGGATGTTGGTTGAGGGTTTCGGGTTCACGGCGGCGATTAACCCTTGACAAATGTCTATAAACTCTAAACCCTAAACCCTAAACATCCCTTACAAAGACCTAAACATCCCTAAACCCTAAACCCTAAACATCCCCTAACAAAACCTAAACATCCCTAAGCATCCCTAAACCCCAAACCCTAAACCCTAAACCCTAAACCCTAAACCCTAAACCCTAAACCTTCGCTGCACCCCCAAGGCGCGGCTGCGCATCGACTCCGGAGCGGACCAGCGCCGCGTGCCGCCGCGGAAGAGCACGCCCTCGTCGATGTTCTTGATCATCCTCCGCAAAGGGGGGTGTAGGATTTAGGGTTTAGGGTTTACGGTCTAGGGTTTAGGGTTTAGGGTTTAGGGTTTAGGGTTTAGGGGATTAAGCCTCAACTGCACAGAAAGCATACGGCCACAAAGCCCCAAATAAACGCTGATCCCTCTAAACCCCTGAACCCCTGAACCCCTGAACCCCTCAACCCCTAAACCCCAAAAAACCCTACGCCCCTAAACCCTACACCCCTAAACCCCTAAACCCCTAAACCCTACACCCCTAAACCCTTAAACCCCTAAACCCCAAAACCCCTAAGCCCCTAAACCCCTAAACCCCTAAACCCCTAAACCCCTAAACCCCCCAAAACCCGAAGTTTCCGCAGGCCGAGCAATTTCCCCGCCTGGCCAATCCGAAGTCGGTCAACTTGGGCTGCATCGTCTGTGGCACCAGGATATTTCCAGGCTTCCTGGGTGTTGAGGGTTGAGGGTTGAGGGTTGAGGGTTCAGGGTTCAGGGTTTAGGGTTTAGGGTTTAGGATTTAGGTTTTTTTCCGAGGGTCGTTGGAGAAGATGTGGCAAAGTCGCTATGTAACCGCACACGCTACGATCCCAAATGCTCGGCCTTGCTTCACGGACCCTTCTTCACGTCAGCAGCATCAAGGAGGGTGAACGGGCGGGCCACGCGGCAGCGTACCCTTGACAAACCCGCTAGATTACCGGAAGTGTTGCCGCACCTGTTGAGCACGGGCCACCCATTGCACCGAACCGCCTTAGGGAGCATCGGGGGGGGGGGGGGGACGAGCACATGCAAGCCAGCAGCACAGGCCCCGGGGTCATGGCCGAGGGTTCAGGGCCCAGGGTCGCTCGCGTGCACAGTTGAGGCCCGCTGGCGGGAAAGGGGGGCACCCCCTCGAAACCCAAACACCCTCAACCCTAAAGCCCTGAAAACCACCCCAAAAAAAGATCCTCGGGAAAGGGGGGAGGGGGTCCCCACCCACACCCCCTCGGGGGTCCCCACCCACACCCCCTCGAAACCCAAACACCCTCAACCCTAAAGCCCTTAAAACCACCCCAAAAGAAGGTCCTCAACCGCAAACCTGCAGCCCCAAACCCGGAGGTTTCTAAACCCTAAATCCTGAGCCCCCGAACAGAGCAATTTTCCTAACCCTAAATCAACCAAAAAAACTATACTTCTGAAAAATTTAGCACAGCCAAGCGACCATGCTAAAAGACCGTACACTAAGCCTTAAAATCTAAACTCTAAACCCTAACACAGCCTCAACCCTGAAAAAAAAACACATCATCATCTCAAATCCCGAAATTAAAAAAAAAAAAAAAAAAAAAAAAAAATCCCAAACCCTAAAAAGCGCCACAGCTTGGGTGTGTTTTGAAACCCTAAACCCTAAACCCTAAACCCTAGTTGTTTTTGGGAATTAACAAAGCAGGGTGGCAGGTCGCCATGCATGATGGCCGGAGACTGGAGGTGGAGGAAGCGCAAGGCTTTGCAGATGCGGAGGAGGATGACGCATCCTGAGACTGGTAGGGTAAGAGGGTTTAGGGTTTAGGCTCTAGGGTTTAGGGTTTAGGGTTTAGGGCTTGGGGTCTGAGGTGTAGGGTTGCCCCTGAACAAGCAGGCTGCACACCCTGGCACCATGATGGGCAGAGGCGCAAGCCCTAAACCCCAAACCCTAAACCCTAAACCCTAAACCCCAAACCCTAAACCCCCAAACCCTAAACCCTAAACCCCAAACCCTAAACCCCAAAACCCCAAACAGCAAAACATTAAGAAGCCCGAAAGCCCTAAACTACTATTTCCTTAAGAACCCCCCTCCAAAAAAAAAAGAATAAGCAAAATAATAATATTCTTGCTTTTAAGGGTCACAGAGGGACGATTTTCTGTGTTTTTCGGGGGTTGCAAAAAGTAGTAAACAGGTCCTACATCCCTGAACCTTAGAACCTGAAGACCGCAAACCCCGAACTCTGAACCCCGAACGCCCCAAACCCCTCAAAGCCTACACCCTGACCTCAAGATGCGATGCCACAAGCTCTACACACTGAAGCCACGAAAACACACCCTAAACCCCCAAGCCTTTTAACCGGAAATGGGGGAGATGAAGGTGCACCCTTCAACCCTTTAACCCTTGACGGCCCTAACCCTAAACCCTAAACCCTAAACCCTAAACCCTAAACCCGTGTCACCGTACCAGAAGCTCGAAAGTCTCAGCGGCGTGCTTTGGTCCGCACCGGACTGGGCGGAGGCGTGATCAGATTTGCCAACGTCGCTCCTGGGAGCATGAGGGGGCTTAGGGTTTAGGGCGTAGCGTTTTGGGGGTTTAGGGTTTAGGGTTTAGGGTTTAGGGGTAGAGGGCTGAAGGCTTTGTATAGGGTTTAGGGTTTAGGGCTTAGGGTTTTGGGGTTTAGGGATAGCCGTTGGGATATTCCCCCTTAAACTATCAATCCTTAATAGGGATTCTCGTACCCCCCGCGCTCCCGATTATATTCCCGACTAAGGACTGTGAGCATAAGGGAAAACATGCTTGTGCTGCACAGTGCACTGCGGCTCTTGAGCCCTTCTTTTCCATGCTCCGCACGTAAAGAGAATTCACAACGCTTGACGGCTCTTAAAGCGCTTTGAGAAAGCAACCTGCGGTGGTGGGGCGGTGGCGGTTGACGGAAAGAGGCTTGCCGCGTTTCAATTTGCAACAACATGCGAAGACATGCTTGTGCTGCACAGTGCACTGCGGCTCTTGAGCCCTTCTTTTCCATGCTCCGCACGTAAAGAGAATTCACAACGCTTGACGGCTCTTAAAGCGCTTTGAGAAAGCAACCTGTCACCCAACACTGCAACTAGGGAGGGCGGGCGGGAAGCCAGAGTAGGAAAGAGCAACTATGAATTCTCCTTACGCACAGAGAGTCTTCGAGCGGTAGCCACCATTGTGTGGACCATGCTTGTGAGGTCCGCCTCCACTTCCGCTTCATTGCAAGCCGGTTCACAAAGTTCTGCTAGCTGTCCTACTCGCCGCCTAGCACGCGGCGTCAGTGTGTCCATTATGTTGACACAGCCTACTTCCTGGATATAATGAGCAAGAGTCTTAAAATTCAGCCAACGTCCTCTCCACTGGAGCCTCGGGAGATCCTCATTCCACACCCTAAACCAGTACGTTGCACCCCCTGGCCTTAATGAGCTAGGGACTAGGATTTTAGGAGCGTTTGCTGCAGCTGACAACACTTGCTCAAGTCTTCTACGGAAAAGGCTGGTGGAGTAACACCAAATCTTCTCGTCTCGGGCCATGACTTTGAAACACTTCTTGGTAAAAGCGACGACGTAAGGCACGTCGAGTCTCACGCTTTGCATCTTTGCCCCACGCGTCCTTGACTTGACCATGCGCAACTTGATAAACATCACGCTGTCGCAACCAGAATCTGAACTCAGGATGAAGTCTTTGACAGTCAAGGAAATGAGCTCGCAAGGCCTCAACAAGGCGTAAAAGCCGATCAGTAGGAGCAGAGCGAAGCGAAACCATTCCCACGCCACTGCCGTCGTCACCATCGCTTGGAGCAGCGGCAAAGGGCAGGGCGGGTGTACTTTGCCTGGCCACAGACTCTCCCACGTTGTCAGTAAACGCCACGGTCCTGTCAAGAAGTGTTTGACATACGCATGTTTCTGCACTAGGGCATTCAGCGTCTCTGCGTAGTTCTTTCTGCTCGAGCCCTGCTCGTAGAGCACTCGTCCGTACTCTTCTACCATCATGGCGACTCGGATCGGGTCTGCCCGTATGAGCTCCAGAAAGGGCGGTGTGCCTGGCTCTTCCATCTCCACCCATTCCATGAAGGCTTGCCAAAGCCTGGCGCGGAGCTGAGCCGTCGGCTCGGTCACACGGCCGCGCTCTAGATCCTTTCTGTCGCGAGGCTGACTGGCAGGCCTCGGCCCAAGCACCAACTGAGGCGTAACCGCCACCAGAAGCCAGAAGTACAGCGGAGCCAAAAAGAAGCCACCTTGCCCAAGACCTGGGCGTCCCAGATGCATCATCCAACGCATCTTGCGCTTTAGTGACTCTGCCTGCACGTAAAGCTAAAAGCCACGACGGCAGCTGCACACGAGGCAGGCGTACAGACTTTTGTCGTGAGGGGTCGTCTGCTCTCAAGGCCCATGTCGGACAGTGCACTCCGCTAGAGTACAAGTTTTTGAACAACTGCACTGCTAGGGACTGCCGAAGAACACGATTGAGGGCACTGCTTGAACTCCTACCCTTTGCTGTTGCTCCTAGGGTCACCATGGAGTCCTGAAAGACGACCACTCGGCAATTGCTGGGAGCAAGATGCATCAGAGTCTTATGCACATGGCACTCAAGGACGTTAATATGATTTTTACGAGGGAAGCGGTACGCTCTACAAACTCGCCATGGCAAGCTTTCAGCGAGATGAGTGGACCATAGGTGACTGACAAAACGTTGTGCACCCCGATGGTCACGCAGCTCCCTTTCGAAAGGAGGAAAGTGCTGCTCATCCCCGGCTACTGTCACCTGATGCATCTTTTCGGCTTTCGACAACTTTGCAGCTAGCCGCGCCACTTCTTGGCATAACGAAAGCGGATACACAGCCGCAGCTGCAGTTAACGGGCCCTCCAACCTCACGTGCCGAACTTTGCATTTGCACCTACGACCAAGAGCTCCGAAGTTCTGGGAACTGCACAACAAAGAAGTGGGCTTGAGGTATGGCACCTCATATCTACACTGATCTACGCGGAACTCGCGCCCCAGGCGCATACACAGCTTCCACCATGGGAGATGTCGCGCATATCCCCCCCACGGCGTTTCAACGACAGCCTCATGCCCCGCTGTTGCCTGAACCAACCACAACAGCAGACACTGGTGCATATGTAGACTACCCTCACACACATCTGGCAGCAGGCTGTCAAAGCCCCAAGGCTCTTCTTTAGACCGCAGGCGCGGTTGAAGCGCCAGCGAAAACGTGGTGCAAGGTGGGGCCAACCACAGCAGGCCTACTCTACCTGCGCCTACCAGTTTGAGGAGCAGATTGAACAGGCCCTGCGATGACATATCCCAGCCTTCCTTCAGCTCAATGGAGGGCCCTACTGTAAACCCTGCACTCAGCATGGCTGCTGAAAGCCTAGCGCTACCAGAGTAGACCTCTACAAAATCGACTGCAAACTGTGAAGGCGTCATGTCATGCACGCGGGGGCAATTGGCACGAAATCGTTCGAAAAGCTCGCGGCCACAACTGGTGAAAGATATCTGCTCAAAGTTGCCGAAAATCAAGGATACTGCAGGGACTGCGGGCGCTGACGGCTCACCCTCAATATCTTTACTGCGCATATCATCCTTAAGCAAGAAAGAGGGTTCCTCAGGTTCAATGCCAGTACGATGCAAATAAGCACTAATGGGGGAGAGCAACCGGGTATGAAAACCCCTGGAATCCGTCCTACGGAAGAGTTCGCGCGCAACGTCCTGTCCGACATGGCAGGTGACAATACCCACTCCGCTGGGCGAGGCATCTGTCCCGTAGACTTGAGGGCACACATTGGCCTTCAAATCTGCGACAGCCGCCACCCCTAACGCGGCTGCAAGCTGCAATTCTTGGCACACAGACTTGGGCATTCGAAATTTTTGGTCCGCCAGACCTTTGGGGTGCCCCACGCGATAAATCTCTTGAAAGATGGCGAATAGGGGTCTTCGAAATTGGAAAGCGAATGCCCAAAGCCCAGCTACCTTTTGCAACAACTGCTCTGTACAACAACCTAAAGAGGCAAGCTTGGCAGTAGCGGCGCACAGGGACACCAACTTGGCCCGGTCCATACCTACAAGCCCCTGATTCCCCTCAAAGTGCGCTCCCCAGGCCTTGAACTCAGAAGCGCGTCGGAACTTCTTTTTGGGGTGACTCTCCAAACCAACTGCAATGTATGCTTCGTCAGCCTGCGCACATGCTTCGAGATCACGGCCTGGAGCTTCTTGCGCGCTTGCACTCTCTGGCACGTACGATGGGAAGATCTGCAAGGAAACCTTATCGTCAATACAAATCCCTGAATAATGACCCAGCGGGGCTCGAGGAAGGGGACACCCTAACTTCAAGTGCTCCTCAGCTCTCAAAGCCCCAAACTTTTCAAGGACCTTTTCATGACTCAGCTGGGCAATAGCTGGGGCGTAGTGATCGCCCATCGATAGTCCTGCAAAACACGCCGCCACGCGTGTGCTGGGACTAATGTTCAGGTCAGGGCGCCGCTTACGCAGGGCAGCCACTGCCTGGGAGTTCCAAAAGTCTTTGGCACACCACGTCGGGCCGACAACCGTTGACAGCGCACGTTCCTGGGACACCTTGAATGCATGATAAAAGTTCCTAAGGTCATCAAGGGAGCCCCGTAAGCAACCCTTCTGCGGTACTACCAAGCCCAAAAACACACTGCAATGTCCCATCTTCGGACCGTCGGCTGGCGGCGGCGTTTCCGCCAAATTTCGGGGGCGTCGGTCAATGATCTGCCGGAGTTCACCATCAGGTTTGCTAAGACAGAACAGGTTACACACCTTGGAAGAATCCCATTCACCCTCAACCGCCAAACACAAACGCTTGACCGCGTCCCATCGCCAGAAAAGATGCCACAACTCGTTGCGGCTGCTTGTGAGTGGGTTCGGAACTCCCTGAACACCCTCCTTCTTTAACAAATGATCCGGTCGCTCAAAAGCCGACCTCCAAGGCTCATCTAAAAAAGGGAGGGGATCAAAGTCAACCAGGTGATCAGGGACTGCTACTCTGCTTGCTACTGTTGGGACGACTAACGTGTTTGCGGCTTCGGAGGAAACTCTCACATCTTGTTTTGTTACACCATAAACCACATCCCTAAGGGAGTCAAAATCACTCTCAACCCTAATTAGCTCGGCGTTTACCGAATCAAGTTTGGAGCCGCAACCCAGAAGAGTTTCCCCGCTGAGGCGGCTACACGAGCGCACCCTGCTCAACATCCCTTGCACCAAAGCCTCCTGCTCTGAACTCAGCACCCCTCTGCAACCTTGTGGTGGACAGCATCGGGGCATGCCTAGATGGAGGAAGTTAATAGCAACAACTTGCAGATTCACAAAGAGTTCACAGGCCCGTCGCTCGCTGAAACGTTTCTGCTGGCGCCTGGACCCTGAAGCATGAGGCGGGATGTTCCAAGGGAATGGCAGGGGGCATGGCAAAAGCTCGGATGAAGCTGGCCCTACACCAGCATTTCGTCGTGCGGAGCTGCGCAGAAAACATGCAAAAGGAGTCTTTAAACACCCCCTATCCAAAAGTCTATACACATAGCCTGGGACACTCCTCGCAAGCCGAGGCCCGTCCAGGCTCATTTGTCGGGCTCCCCCTGAGGTGCGCCCTTGCCTCTTCCGCGGGGCGGGCGGCGGTCTGCTCTGTCCGCGCCTTTCCCCCGTCGCTTTGTCAAGACCTCCTCGTCGTGAAGTCTCGCCACCACTGCTGCAGCCCACGTTGGATGCACCAGCCGACTGTGGGCGTGGTCGGCCCTCAACTGATGTATCATGTTCTCCTTTGCCCTCCAATCTGCAAAGGGGGGCTGCGTCTGCATTGTCAAACGCCAAGCCGCAGTCCAAGAACTGTCCAGACGATACTGCTCTATAGCGGCCAGAGTCAGCAACAAGTCAGCAACAAGATAAGCTGCGTGCTGGCCAGTGCCCATCATTGTCACAGCTCTGGTGATGCCCCAAGTTGCGAAACCAAGACTTTTCTCGCTGCCCATGGGCATCTCGTCTTTGACAAAGCGTTCGACGGTAGTCGGTGTGTCCGTGGCCTCCCCGAGCAACTGGGCAGCATTGGCCTTGATGGCCTGGATGTACGCAGCTGGGTCGCTTTCCATAGAGCTTTTCAACCTCTCCAAAAGCATAGACCCTTTCGCTCCCGCCAGGCGCCTCAGTGGGTCCTCGAGCTCCTCCTCGGAGCTCGAGGCACCCCCCAAAGGCAGACCTGGCTTGCGCTTGGCTTTGGACTTGTCCTTCTTTGTCAGGAGGCTCACCAGAGCGGTCTTCAACAGCTGGTCGGTTGACATGCCACCGGGGTCGTCCACCTCGACGTCCACGTCTTCTGGGACCTCGCCCAGTGGCCCCACACCTCCAGCAACTTGAGGAGCTGCGGTCCGCGGAGGCGCCCCAACTATTGCCCTGGCTTTGCCTAAGGCCGACAGCTGTCCGCCGGCAGCTGCGGGCATTGAAGCGCTTCCAGGCGAGTGCTTCATGTCTTCCAAGTCGCCCTGCAGATTGGTAACAGCGGCTGCAGTGTGCTGCACTTGCTTCAGAAGTTGGTGAAGCAAGGAGTCGGTGGGCGAAGTGAGCGAAGGTCTTGGAGTGCCCTCTGTCGCAGTCGCATAGGCTTCGGAGTGGGGCCCATCCCCGTCCTCGACCCACGATCGCGCCTGAACCGCGAGCTGGTCGAAGTCGATACTGTGCACGGCTCCTCCATCGCTTTGTGGCCAGATAGTCTTGGGCGGCCACTTGAGCTCGCCAGAGGATGCTCTCAGGTGTGGATACAACTCCTGCGGCCAATCCAGTACCAAAAGTGAGACCTCGACAGGCTCGGCGTCGTCCTCGGCACTCAGGTAGCCCTCTGCTTGCACCACATGCACTGGCCCCAAATCGCTTGTCACGCCTTCCACCGTCTTGCTTGAGCATTCTGCATCGGTGAGGGCAGTCATGGGGAGGCCTAGCAAGAGCCCACCAGCACGGCGTAAGACTGGCACCACAGCAATGTCTCGAGTTCCAAGCTTGAGCAACAGCCATTCTGGAGTACCCTGCTCGCACACCACCAGAGAGGCAGCTCGTCTTGCCCCCAATGCCCGCCACGGCATCTTAAAGGCTCTCGGGCAAGGAGTCTTGAGATGGGCAATCAACGATGCAGGTAGTGCGTTCCTTGCGAGTCACCCGAAGAACAGCGCTTCGCTCGGCCTTCTTCGAGTTGAGTTCGGGACGCACTGGCGCGACTACCTCCCACTCTGGCTCTTCGCGGGTCAGTTTGGGCTCTGGCACGGCACCGGCCACTTGAACCTGGATCTCTCTGGTTCCAGGTGTAGAGGCGCGGGCAACCATGCACTACTGCCTGGGATACCCTGCTAATCGATCACCAGGCACTGGCAGGGGTCCTACGAAGACTTCCCTAAGCAAGACCACCAAGATATGCCTGAACCGTTGGGAGATGATCAGGGCCGAAGTCAAGGCACCACACACAAACCCAAGAAACCAACAGAACCCACCAAGGAGGATAGTTTCTGCTAACGAGGTTCTGGGGCACAAGTTGCTCCAGGCAACTAGGTTCCCCAAAAGAACCTGCCACATGCCTTGACGGAAAGAGGCTTGCCGCGTTTCAATTTGCAAAAACATGCAAAGACATCCCAAGGTAGAGGGTAGAAGGCCTTGTATTCTTGGCTGCTCTTAGCAGGGTAGCTATAAATTCAATTTTCAGCTGCCTTCTTAAGAAACCCAATAAACCCAAAAAGGCTAAAGATGTAAAGTTACAGTAAAGCACCACAAAGGTATAGGGTGCGGTGCCTCAGGATTGAGTTTGTGTAGGTCGTGGGCCCCCTCAACTTTCAGGTGCGGGGCTTCAGAGCCTTGAGCCGAGCCGTTTAGGGTTTAGGGTTTAGGGTTTAGGGTTTAGGGTTTAGGGTTTAGGGTTTGGGGTTTAGGGTTGGAGCCATGTAGTCCTTGGGGCATGAGTAGACAAAGCCCTAAACCCTCTTCTCGAGGAAAAGTCTTACTGCCCAGACTCCAGCTTTCAGGAGATACCTTCGCAACGTCCTATAGGATGCAATTATTTGCAGCATCTAAGCTTTTGATATTAGGGCTTAGGGCATCTTTCCCCACCTGGGACTTGACAACGAATGATGAGGCCCTGAGCAGTTGAAGGACCTTGCTCGTAACACCCATGCCTTATGGCCGAGATCCCCTCAAACACACGACACTCTAAACCCTAAACCCTAAACCCTCCCGGAACCCTCCCGGAACCCTCCGCAACCGTTCATCAACCCAAAGAAACTAAACCCTAAACCCAAAACCCTAAACCAAAGAACAACGCGAGACCGAGCACCAAAGAGTTCACCAAGGGCTCCTGGGACGACCTCCTCCACAATCAGGACCTCACCTCGGGTAGCCAGCCCTATCGTAACAAAAAACCATGCGGGCGCGGATCCTACGGGCTGCTTCATTGGGAGCTTCGTGGCGGGGTATCTAGGAATCCTAAGCCCTAAACCCTAAACCCTAAACCCTAAACCCCAAACCCTAAACCCGAGCCCTAAACCTTAAACCATAAACCCTAGCCCGAAACCCTAAACCCTAGACCCACCCTCACCCCCAAGTCCTTAACCGCCACCACTGTAGGGGCACACGATATGGCAGGTGTGTAGGATTCACGTGGCTCAGCCCCGAATCCTGAACTGGGTTTGGGGGCTTTCAGAAACCTTCCGATTCAGTTGGGGTCGGGTTTTCGACTCTCGTTTAGGGTTCATGGTTTAGGGTGAAGGGCTTGGGGTTTGGGGTTTCGGGGTTCTAAAGGGAATCTGCTGCCACGCCAAAGGTGCCAGCGGTGATGTTGATGCACGCCCCGTGAAACATTACCTCAGACGATCTCGAGCAGCGCGGGTGTGAAGACTCTGAAAGCTCCAAACTCTAAACCCTTAGGGTTTAGGGTTGAGGGCTTAGGGTTTGGGTTTAGGGCTTAGGGTTTAGGGTTTAGGGTTTAGGGTTTAAGGTTTAGGGCAGGTTTGGGGGGAACTATGTCTTATGGCCCTATGAGGATTGTAGAATGTAACCCCTGAATGCCTAAGACCCTAAGCCCTCAAAACCCTGAACCCTCAGAAACAAAACGGATCTTGAAATTCGCCCAGGGCTTTAGGGACCCCCCCCCCTTCCTCTGGTGTAGTACTAGTGGGCTTCGGCCGAGGGCTTTGGGTTTAGAGATGTAGAGGGTTTAGGGATTGAGGGGGTGGATTAGTTCGACTCTCTGACAAAACTCTTAAATCAGGTTGTGGTCTCCAACGCCAAACTGTAAGGATAACCAGCGAAGGATGCGGAGCATGCGCACCACATGCCATCATGAAGGCTACACGGATCCTGGTAAGCGTAATACCCTAAACCCTAAACCCTAAACCCTAAACCCTAAACCCTAAGCGTAATGCAAGAAGAACGAAAAAAATTCGCTGGCCTGCCTCATATCAGGGGAGGGACTTCAGGGTGGAGAGGGTTTGGGGGTTTAAGGGTTTAGGGGTTTAGGGTTTAGGGCTTAGGGCTTAGGGTTTAGGGTTTAGGGTTTAGGGTTTAGGGTTTTGCGTTAAGCTGGCGTAGGGCTTGCATGTGCCGTATGCGGGCTTGTAGGCATCAAAACAAATACCAGGCAAACTGCACAAGTCCAAATTTTCTGCGTGTGCGATGACGCCTGGACCACTTCAACTTGGAACCGGCAACCAACCCCCCTGACCAAAAAGGCCACAGATTGGTACCCTAAACCCTAAACCCTAAACCCACGGCCAGGCCGCGATGTTCGGATGCCGAAGTCGGCGGAAGATTCGCAACTCCTGGGAGCCGTAGGGGTGTCTTCTTCTTCGTTTCGGGCTCTTTGGAGTTTAGGGTTTAGGGTTTAGGGTTTAGGGTCTAGGGTCTAGGGTTTAAGGTTTAGGGTTTAGGGTTAAGGGGTACAGGGTTTAGGGTTTAGGGTTCAGGGTAAGCCGACGCGGGGAGAGCGGACAAGCCAGCAAAGGCAAGCTCAAACTATGCTACACCACCACGACGAACTACACGATGTGCACAACACGTACGCGCTAGGGGATTAAATGCACTAGCGAACCAACCAGCAAGCTAGCGAGCTTTTCAAGTCTCAGAAGGGATTGATGGGATGAGGTACCAAATATCCCCCTAGAAATATATATACAATATGTATATATATATATATATATATATACCGGGCATCTGATTCCCTGATTCCCTGCTAAGCACCAGGTTAGGTTCCCAGAGCGTGCGGGAGAATGTCCAACAGCAGTCACTCAACTCGCTACAAGGTGGCTGAGCTTGGGGACAAGGACCTGGTAGCAACAAACCCCCATAATGAATCCAAAAACAGGCAACCGAGGAGAGCCGCCCGGACCCTTGACATTTATAATTTATGAATATGCACAGAGTAGAACGTATAGTGTAACAAAA